AAAATTATTTTTAAGGGAGGGAAAGAGAGTGAGAGTGATATATAGTTCAGGTGTATTATTTGTTTGTGATGTTAGTTCTTTTGTACAATATATGCTAATAATAAATTCCTAAGGAAAAATGTTTGATGGTCCTTCAGCTCAGAAGTGGTAGAGCTGAAACTTGAACCCAAGTCAGACTCTGGTTTGTGCTCTTAATCATCCCAGAGGAAATAGAACTAAGATTTCTGATAATAGGTGTTTTGACCTTGAGTGAAAAAGAAACCTTTTCTTCTCTCTCATTTCACCATCTTGTTTTGTTTTTTGTTTTTTCCAGTCTTAGGAATGGAACCTAGGGCTTCATATAAGCCAGGCCTCTAGCTAGACCTCAGACCAAATATAAACATCGTAACCTTCAGTTTTCTATTTAATAGGCAAGAATATAAGTTTCGTGTTTGCACTGTGCCTAACAAACATTGCCCATTCTACTTCAACAGCAAGTGTTTAATGAGAACCCTAAGTAATTAATCTTGTTCTATGAATAAAGAGCCTGCTATGAAAAACACAAAAGGATTACTGTTTCCCATGACCTGCACAGCACAGCTGCTCAATAAATATTCCTACAGAGTTCAAACCCTTGAGTTCTCTCTAGTCTCCCTTGTCTCTCTTCAATTAGGTATCCTCCAATAATGCCGAGCCATTCTGCCAAATATCTTTCAAGAAGTGCTATGGGCCAGGTGTAGCTTGGTGGCAGAGTGCTACCCAACATGAGCCAGGTTCTGAGTTCAATTCCTAGCATCATTATTAAAAAAAGAAAAAACAAAGTTATGTGCTGGTGGTTCACACCTGTAATCCTAGCTACTTAAGAGGTTGAGATCTGAGGATCATAGTTCAAAGCCAGCCCGGGCAGTAAGGTCTGTGAGATTCTTATTTCCAATTAACCATCAGAAAATCACAAGTAGCATTATGGCTCAAAGTGGTAGACCACTAGCTTTGCGTGAAAAAGCTCAGGGACAGGCCTGGGCTCTGAGTTCAAGCCCCATGACTGATCACCAAAAAAAAATTAATAATAAAATTAAAAAGTGGTGTGTGTTTCCGATGATTTCTTATTGCTATTGATTAAAAAAAAAGACATGCAAAATAGTCTGGGGTTAAGGCTGATATCTTCCCCATTTAAAGGTGAATTCCTACTCATTACAAATGGGGTTAACCAATTATACCAGTTTACTTTTTAAAAGTTAAAATGCAGAGCTGGGCACAGTGGTATTCAGTAGTCATAGCTACTCAAGAAAACGGCTTGAGGCCAGAGTTTAATTAAGGTCAATCTAGTGACATTAAGGACCTCCAATCTCAAAAACAAAACAAAATGTTTAAATATAAAAATAATAAAATGAGAAGTAAAATTCTGCTTATTTCTTGAGTTACTAAAAAATTGATATGCATTTATTTTTAAAATGAAAATGAGAGGGAAGGGGTGACACTATGCCAAAGAAATGAACTCATTATCTGAGTTATGTAACTGTAACTACTCTATACATCACCTTTAAAACAATTTTAAAAAACTAAAAAAAAAAAATCAATAAAAAAGATTCTGCTGTATACAATCTTCTTTTTTAAAATCAGAAAGCAGTGTGGGGCCAGGTGTGGTGTCACACACTAGTAATTCCTGCACTATGGAAGCAGAGAAAGAAGACTACAAATTCCAGGCCTGCCTGGCCTACTTTGTAAGATCTTGTCTCAAAAAACTAGGGGATAGAGATATAGATCAGTGGTAGAGAGCCTGCCTAACATGTACAAGGCTCTGGGTTCCATCAGCAGCACTGCAAAAACAAATCAACAAAAAGTTGTAATAGAATATTCTATATGAGGCTATAGGTGCTCTATATTGATCATCAGAAGTGATACACAGTATGAATGCAGTAAGGATGCATCACAATCAAAGCAACCACCTCTATGGATGGATCAACAGTTGGTAGGTTAGGGTATTTGGTTACCCATTCAAATATTTGCTGTCCTCATTCTGCTTTGTCCATTGAACCCTGTGTTCCAATGACAACATGCTTATCCTATTGCATGCTTTTGTGGAGTCCCTTGCTCATAAAGCCATGCTGGGTGGTTCTGGCTAAGAAACCTAGCTGATAGATGGTGACATTTCTCAGGATATAAGAAGTGGCACCAAACAATGCTCTAACTCCATTCTTCCTGAGATGACTATGATAGCTAATGCTGAAAGTCATTTTAACAAGGTCACAAGGCAACACTAAAACAAGCAGGTAGGCAGTAGAGAAGAAAGTGCTTGTATGTCCGTACCCACCCACATACAGAGGCATCGTCTCACTTTCAAGAATCAAAGTGCATTTTGGCCTGAATGTCTTTTAAAAAAAGGGGGGGGGGGGGAGGAAATGCTTTACATTAAAAGTTTAGTGCAGACTTGTGATATCCTACAGAACAAAAAACATAGTAAAACTAGATGTAAAGAAAACTGTTTTCCACACATGCTTGTCTGGTAAGTTGTATACAATCTGTGACACTTCTGCTTTCCCTTAAGCTGTCTATTTTCTTTAACCTACTCTGAAAATACTCCAGGTTCCTAAGTAATCTGCATGAAAAACTGGAAGATTTTGATTTAGATAAACCATTACATTTTCCCAAAGCTCAGAAACAGAATAAAAATAAAATATTACAGGGCTGTTTTCAAAAGCAGTAAAATAGTTCCTTTCTGTGAGGTTAAGAGTACTTTTCCTAGTTACTTAATATCAGAAAAGAATTTCTATTGCTTTAATGAGGATGGTTTTTTTCAATTTTGCCAATCTCTAATATTGGCAAAAATATAAGATGCCAGTTTTCTTAAAATTCAGCAACTTTTCACTCTATTTAAAATAAGCACTTAAAAACGCTTATTAAATGAGCAAATTTACACTGAATAATTACTATTTAAAATATTACAGATAAAACATTTAATGCATAATCCAAACTGTATAAAACATTTATGCTTCTTAACAGAAGCTCACATTTATACTACTTTTACAAGTTATAAACTGGTTACATATCTCATTTGATGTTCAATAGGGACATGTCAGATAAACATTATTATTTTACAGACATTATTCAGTACATTAGGTGCTATATCTGTAGTCCTGAAACTTTGGATCTATAAAGGGTTTACTAATATAAATACTATAAAGGTTTCAAATTTTTTAAATCATCGTTTTCAAGTTTTCCATTTTCTTTTTCTTTTCTTTTTTTTTTTTTTGGTTGCTCATGGGGCCTAAACTCAGGGCTGCACTATCCCTGAGTTTTTTCACTCAAGGCTAGTACTCTACCACCTTGAGCCAGAGTACCACTTCTGTTTTCAGGGGATTAAGTGGAGATAAGAGTCTTTCCTGACCAGACTGGCTTTTAGCTATGATTCTCAAATCTCAGCCTCCTGAGTAGCTAGTATTATAGGCATGAGCCACTGGTACCCAGCAAGTTTTCCATTTTCCATAATGTAATGATAAAAATTAGATGAGTAGACAGTCATACACTAGCCCGAAGTAAAATCTACTTTGAAGTTCTTATAGGGTTCTTATTCAGGGCACTAGAAATCATATATCAATGATTTTGTTCGCTTTTTCAGAGGAAATGATACAGACATTTCTCCTGCCTCCAAGTCTTACATCTATGTAGATGGCCAGAAAGAGAAATGCATTATCCCAAACAGGAGTTATAGACCTAATTACCCTACCTTAAGCCCTCAGGGTCCTGACAGCAAAGTCATCATCTCATCTCCAGCCATAACTGACTTGTTCTCCACTCCACCTCTCTTACTTCATACACAGTGTAGTCTGGAAATTCTAACCAGTAGCTTTTGTTTCTGAGTTATCTTCCTTACTATACAGTTTTCATTTTCAGAATTTTCTTTTTCTCATTTCTAAATAACAGTAGATGGAGGAGGCAGAACAGAGTCAACTTCAATAATAATTTCCCAGCAAACAGTTGGGCAGAAATGAAAGCGCAGTGGTAACTGGCCAGACAGCAACACCTGTATTCGCCATGCTGTTCTCCAGGACTGGAAAGCCACTCTTCTCTATCACTCTGCCAAATCAAAAGGACACTTCTACCTGGATGCAAATACAAACTAGAACAACGTATTTAAGTCATGGTTCAACAAACTCAGTCTTTTAAATGGTAAAAAAAATTTTTTATTGCAATTGAGGACATTTTTCAATAAATATCTTTGAGACTTTGGCTAGGAAATCCTTAGCATTAGAAATCCTATCTGGCACAAGCCCATTGCCCGCAATGGTATTTTATCAAAACTATAAATGCCAGTACATCAAATAAGTAAATATTGTACTCAGTTGTTCATGTCTAAATATTTCATCAGCTAGGAAACAGACCAAATGTAAATGCTGAGTATGTGGTACAAATAAACATTCTTCACAGAAGAAAATAATAAAAGACTAATTTTCTACATGTCATCTGTTCATTAGTTCTTCAATATTACTTCAGCTACTTCAAGGATAATAAAATTTATGTACCAGGACCCATGTTTTCTCCACACTTTTATCTAAGTTCTATTGAGCATAAACAAAGATACATATAATCAGGAGTTTTTATACACTTTTGATGTTTCTTCTGCTGTGCATCTTATAACAATGACTGCATGGAGACAAAGACAAACATACATTTAAGTCTTTAGTGGTTATAGGAAGTTTGCTGAATAGCTAATTTGTCTAGAGTGTTGTAAATAACAAGGTAAAATAATGTTTGACCAACTCCACCATGCCCTGTGAACTTCAGTCTACTCAGTGAATAACTTCTTCAGTTCATATTAATTTTAAAAAGTTTTTTCTGGGCACCCCTGTGAGCTACTCACCTCCTAGGTTATCAGAAGGCTGAGATCTGAGAATTATAGTTGAAGCCAGCCTTGGGAAGAAATGCCCAAGAGACTCTTTTCTGGAGAAAAAAGAAATGGAGGTGTGACTCAAGTGGAAAAGCACCAGCCTTAAATGAAAACCAAAGTGATAGCATGAGGCCCTGAGCTCAAGCTCCACACTAGCACAAAAAAAGAAAGTAAAATTTAAAACAAAATAAAAAATAGAGTTTCTAAAAGCTGCAAACCATACTTTATTATAAATTTCTGAATCATGAGAGGTTAACTGTAATACATTTCCTCATCTCTCTGACTCCTGGGGAGAAAAGTTTTTGCAATAGAAATTTCCAAACTTTTTAAAGGTGTGAACTATACTCCATGATAAACCTTCATTCCACAGTTCCTTTTACCCAAGGCATGTTCCCTGTTGCATCTTTTGGTGGTTTAGTTTCTGGGAAATTTTCAGCAAACCGTTCTCGAGCTTTGTCCCAGTTTTTTTTGTTCTTGTTTTGGAGAGGATGAACATCATCAATTGAAGATGGTTTGCCTGTCCCCAAGCCCGCATGTGTTCGCCGAAGCTGAAGCTGGATCTGTTACCAAATATGGAGCAGAAAAGTTACTTTAGAATTTTAGCACAATGAAGTTTGTCGTGTCCAAATTATTACTTACCTATTATTTCTTCAACTTCTTAAATACCAATGTACAGGAAAAACCCCATCAAATGAACTAAAGATATGCATCTCATTTTCCATGAAGTTTAAACACAATTCTCTACGTTGTCTTTCCAGTCACTAAACACAACTAACTCTTTATACAACAAGGAGAGAATCTTACTGAGAGTGTTTTATGAAAGGCACCATGTTCATGGACTTTATCTTTGGCACATTGTTGAAAACAGTCCTTATCAATCTCATTTTCATATATTAAAAACAGAAGTTTAAACTTGTCCTAAAGACACAAAAGACCACATATATATTCTAACCTATAGAAAACATGGGTTCCTTCCATCTTGCCTCAATGAGAATAACAAAACTGGTATTATACTTACACTGATCTATTTCTTTAGGTACGAAGTCACTGCAATGAAATTTCTTGGGTTGGAATGCTCTATTAGGTTTCTCATGGAATATGACGGAACATCCTATGAGCTGTGGAGTATAGACCTAAATCATTGTATTGGTTTCCAGAAACTATTCTCTATATTGCAAGCTGCACGCTCTGATTTTTTTTTTTTTTAATGTTGGTCGTGGGGCTTGAACTCTGAGCCTGGGCGCTATCCCTGAGCGTTTCAGCTCAAAGCTAGCACTTTACCACTTAAGGCACAGCACCAGTTTCGGTTTTCTGGTGGTTAATTGGAGATAAGAGTCTCACGGACTGTCCTGCCTGGGCTAGCAATCCTCAGATTGACAATCCTCAGACCTCAGCCTCCTGAGTAGCTAGGATTACAGGGGTGAGCCACCAGTGCCTGGGTTTCCAGCTCCGATTCTTGAACCTAACTGTTCCTTGAACCTAACTGTTCCTGCAATGTTCAACAAGGATGCTAATAAAAATACCTGTAAGGGATTGGATGGAGCTCAGTAGTCAGCACATGCCTAGGTGATCAAGGCACTGGGTAAATTCCCAGCACCCCAAGACAAAAACCCTACACACCTAAAAGATAACACAATACAGAACCTCTGGCTCAGGAAGTAACATTTAAGAACCCAAACTTGTTGTAGGAAAAAAAAGTTTAAGAAGCTTTCCTAAAACAAAAAAGCACACTTATTAACTTCAAAAGCTATATAGACAGTAACTGTGTCTGCTCTTGCTTGACAATATACCCCTACTACTTTCACAATGCCTGCCTGGTACATTATCATACATAGTAAGAAAATAATGAATTAAAAAAAATACAAGTCATACCGGAGTTTTCATTCCTCCACCATCCTTTCCAAGGCCCTCTCCTTTCTTCCAACCCATCTTCTCCAACATCTTCCGACCTTTGTTACTATCAGTAATTTCTCTTTAAGAAAAATTAAAATAACTGATTTATAACAAGATATTTAGGCCACATACTTCATGAGTAAAAATAATTGCTACAACTACTATAGAAAAAGTATATAGCGTTAATAAAGTTGAATACATAGTCTACTCCTAAACATATTCTTTTCTTAGCAGAAAGTATGTATGGCAAATGACATGCACAAGACCATTCTTGCAGTAAATCTACTAGCAATTATGTGTGTACGCGATGCCTGCCATACTAGGTTTTTCACTCAGGGACCTGGGTGCTGTCCCTTAGCTTTTTCATGGGTGGCACTACCACTTGGGCCACAGAGATGTTTATTTTTGGGGGGGCAGGGGAGGTTTATTGGAGATAAAGAGTCTCACAGGGGGCTGGGAAGGTGGCTCAGTGGTAGAGCGCTTGTCTTGCATGCCTGAGGCCCTGGGTTTGATTCCTCAGCACCACTAAGCAAAAAGAAAAAAGCCAGAAGTGGCACTGTGGCTCAAGTGGTAGAACTTTGAGCTGAAGAGCTGAGGGACAGTGCCCAGGCCCAGAGTTCAGGCCCCATGACCAGACCAAAAAAGAAAGTCTCACAGACTTTCCTGCCCAGGCTGGCTTCAAATCGTGCCTGTAATCCTAGCTACTCAGGAGGCTGAGATCACAGGATGGCAGTTTGAAGCCAGCCAAGGCAGGAATCTGTGACTCTTATTTCCAATAAACTATTCAAAAAATGATCACCACCACCACCACCAAAAAAAAAAAAAGTGGAGCTGTGGTTACTCTTCATGCTCACCAGCAATAAAAAATATTTAAAGGGCTGAAGTGCATAACTATAAGGCCTTGAGGGAAAATAACTTGCACGGCAAAAAAAAAAAAAAAAATGAGCCAGCTATTATGGCTCATGACTGTAATCCCAGATACTCTGTGAAGCAGAGACTATGAGTATTAGGTTCAAGGGCAGCCCAGGCAGAGTTGGCAAGATACCATCACAATCAATAAGCAGAGAATGGAGTCATGTGCCTATGTCCTAGCTATGTGGAATACTGTGTAAGTAGATAGTTTGAGGTCTGAGATCTCGCTTTAAAAAAGTCTGTCTCATCCAATAACTGGGCTTGGTGCCCTGCATCTGCTATCCTGGTTAAGAGAAAGCATAATGGCTGAACACAGCAGGGTGTACCTATCTTCTCCATTAACACAGGGAAGCACAAGAAGGACTGAAGCCCAGGTTGGTCTGGGAATAAAAAAGAGCCTCTCTCCAAAATAATCAATATAACCATTCTTTTGGTGGCTCAATCCGATAATCCTAGCTACTCAGGAAGATGAGATCTGAAAATCAGTTCAAAGCCAGCTGGGGCAAGAAATTCTGTTAAACTCTGATCTCCAATTAACCAGTAAAAACCCAGAAGTGGAGCTGGGTTCAAATGGTAGAGTGCAAAAACACTCAGGGATAGCACCCAGGCCTTGAGTTCAAGCCCCAGGGGACGGACACACACACACACACACACACACACACACACACACACACACACACACTATAAAACTTACACACACACACACCCCCACTATGTAATTATAAAACTTTCCTAAGTAACACACCTTACAGATTTGAAAAAACAATCAAAATGTTTAACTACCATTTCTGACTGATTTAAATTAAAAAATGTTTAACTTAAAGAACTCTAGGATGAAAATAATAAGAGCTAATATGATTTAATGCATAAATGTTTTCATTACAAACCTCAACACCATTTTTTCATTTTTATCAAAGCTTATTTTACTGAGAAAAGTCAAAGAAAATAAGTAAAATAGAATTTCAGAGTAAATAAAAACAAGTGTTTGAGTGTTAAAATAATTACAAAATACCAATTTCTTACTAATCCAGGCTTCTAGATACATGAGAGTATAGTCCATACAAATATCAGGAAAGACAGTCATGCATATAATGGGTGCACATGTATAATGGGATGCTCATATTAGAATACATTTAGTGCTTCCATCTTGTTTGAAAATATCCTCGCACTGACTGGTAAGTCAGACTATACTATGCATGGAACTACAGAACAAAGAATGTCCCAAGCCAATACCACTCCATACTCACGAATGAACAGATGCTGGTGCATCATCTCTATGGAAAGTCCCTTCACTTCCCACCTGCTCCCGGCGTTTTCCAGCCCTGTCTTTATATTTTGGATTCTTCAAGGCCTTTTCATCTTCATAGTCTATGTTCTTAATAAACACAAATAAAAAAGATGAAAAGGAAATGAATAAAGGTAACTGCTGTGCATTTGCCTTACTTAGTAAATATGGTTCCATGTGAACTCTACAAACATGAAATAAAAACAAGCTATGACACAATGACAACTATGCTATTAAATATGTAATTTACATTCTATCCTTTTTGAAATTTTATATTAAGTTGTACTATACATATACATAAATGGTAAGATGACAGAATGAAACACTGCATTTTAACAATGTTATGTGTTTTATTGTCAAATGAAGCACAAGTTTGATATTATTTCATGGAAGGGAAACATTTAGTTCAATAGTTGATTGAAGTTTATTGAAGGCAGGAGCTGGGAAGGTGCTCAATGGTAGAGTGCTTGCCCTGCATGCATGAGGCCCTGAGTTCAATTCCTCAGCACCACATAAGCAGAAAAAAGCCAGAAGTGGTGCTGTGGCTCAAGTGGTAGAGTGCTAGCCTTGAGCTGAAGAGCTGAGGGACAGCACCCAGGCCCACAGTTCAAGCCCTACAACTGGCAAATAAAAAAATAAAAAATAAAAATAAGGCAATGGTTCACCTTGTGACAATAGAAGCTTTTTACTTAAATACAATTTCATATATAAGATTAATGCAATACCTAATTTGTGGGAGTGTTCTGTCTCAATGCACTCAGGGTGAAAACCAGCACAGTTCACAGGTGGTGGCATACTGTTAGGTATATTCATTTTGTCTGTTGTCTTTCACTTTTAGTCATTCATAATTAATTTTGAGATTCATCTGGGTTGGAGCCTGTATCAAAAGCTCTTGCTTTTATTGCTAAATAATATTTCACCATTATACCACAGATAATATGGTTTGTTTACCTAATTTGGACATTAGCTTTCCACTCTGGGGTTATTACAAACAAAAGTGGTGTGATGATTTGTTTGCTAGTCTTTGTGTCAAAATATACTTACCTTTCTCTTGGGTAAATAACTTGAGTGCAATGACTGAATCATGTAAGTGTACCTTTAACTTTTTCTCCTTTTTCTTTGCAGGAGGATCAAAACCAGGGCTTCATCTAGTAGGCACACACACATTAGGACACTGAATTATACCATTAACTCTCTCTAACCTTTTTTTTTAATATTGTGACCTTTCATTTTTTAAAAACTATCAAGTTTTTCCAAAGCAACTATACCATTTTACATTAACACTAGCAGTGTATGAGTTCCAATACGTATACATCTTTTCCAACATTTGATATATTCAGTTTATAGGCCATTCTAACAGACTATCTCAGTGTGTGTGTGTACTCAAGACCCATTCTAACAGGCTATCTGTGTGTGTGTGTGTGTGTGTGTGTACGTGTGTACGTGTATACGTGTGTACATGTACGTACTCAAGACCTGGACACAGTTCCTGAGCTTTTATGCTAAAGGCTAGCACTCTAGCACTAGAGCCACAGCTCCACTTAGGGCTTTTTTGGTTACTTAACTGGAGATAAAAGTCTCATGGGCTTTCCTGCTGGTTTCGAACCAAGAGCCTCAATCTCCTGAGCAGCAGGATTAAAGGTATAAACCACTAGCACCAGATTCACTTGGTTTAAATTCACATTTCTTTAAAGACTAGTAATATCAAACATCCTTTCAGGTATTTTACTTGCCATCTTCTTTGGGAAAGTGTTGGTTCAGAACTCTTGCCTTATTTTGTTACTGTTTTTGGAGACTACATCTAATGTTGTTGCTCAAACAATCCTCCTGTCTCAGCCTCAAACTATGAGGGACTACAAGTACTCACCATTTGCAAGACAGTCTATTTTTAATTAAGCTGTTTTCTTATTACTGAGTTTGGAGTTAAAAAATATGTATTCTAGTCTTATCAGAGATGTAAGTGGCAAGTGTTTTTCCTAGTTTATAGCTTGTCTTTTCAATGTCTTAGCAGTATTTTTGGAAGAGCAGTTTATTTTGTGTGCTGTTTTTGTTTGTCAGTTATGGGGCTTGTACTCTGGGCCTGGGCACTGTTCCTGAGAAGTTTTGCTCAAGGCTAACATTCTACCACTTTGAGATAAGAATTTGGAAGAATTTGGGGCTGGGAAGTTGGCTCAGTGGTAGAGCACTTGCCTTGCATGCCTGAGGCCCTGGGTTCGATTCCTCAGCACCACATAAGCAAAAAGAAAAAGCCGGAAGTGGTGCTGTGGCTCAAGTGGTAGAACTTTGAGCTGAAGAGCTGAGGAACAGCGCTCAGGCCCAGAGTTCAGGTCCCACAACCAGACCCAAAAAAAAAAGAATTTGGAAGAATTTAATGGCTTTTCTTGCCCAGGCTGGCTTTGAACCACCATCCTCAGATCTCAGCCTCTTGAGTAGCTAGGATTACAGGGATAAGCCACAAGTGCCCAGCTAACTTTACATTTTATATGTACACACATGATATATTTTCAGGTCTTTTTTGTTGTTTTGCTTTTCCTTCTTTGACATAAGGCCATCCAATTATTCTGGCATCATTTGTTGAAAAAGAACAAAACAATTTTCTCCATCAGTCTGTCCTTATACATCTGTGGAAAATTAAGTTATATATACTATATTGTATGGATTCATACAATACATAATACATACAATATTGTCTTAATCATGACAGTGATTGACCACTATAGTTTACTTTAAGTCTTGAAATCAGAATTAATCTTCTGTAATATCCTTTTTTTTTTCCAGTCCTGGGTCTTGAACTCAGGGCTTGGACACTGTCCTTAATCCTCTTTTGCACAAGGCTAGCACTCTACCACTTGAGCTACAGCACCACTTCCAGCTTTTTCTGTGTATGTGGTACTGAGTAATTGAACCCAGGTCTTCATGTATGCTAGGTAAGCACTCTACCACTGAGCCACATTCTCAGCCCCTACAGTACCTTAATGCAAGTATTTTGAAGCTCAGAATGTCAACTCAAATATAAGCTATTATAATTTTCTACATCAACCTAGTTAGTATATTACATCAATACCAGAATAGAAATTACATAAATCTCAAAATCACAGTAAATAGTCCTTTATTATATATAATGTACCCAGCGTATCTGGAGACATTTTAATTAAAAATAAGATACACAATTCAATGCATGAAGTAATACTTAACACATCCTTACCTGCAAACCATATTTTACTCGTATTTTTTTTAATTCTTTTCTTCTTTCTAATTCTTTTTCCTCTTTACTTAATGCTGGGCCAACTAAAAGGAAAAACTGGGTTTAGATAAAAGTATTCCACTGAATCTGACAGATTGTAGAAAGTATTGTCATTTCCACAGTATCTGACAACTAACACTACTTTGAAGGAAAGACAAAAATCAGTAATATGAAGATAAAAGACATAGAAGCCAGGCACTGGTGGCTCGTGCCTGTAATCCTAACTATGCAGGAAGCTGACATCTAAGGATCTCAGTTCTAAGTCAGCCTGCACAGTAAAGTCTGTGAGACTCTAGCTCCAAGAAATAAAAAAGCTGGAAGTGGAGCTGTAGCTCAAGTGGTAAACTGCTAGTGTTGAGCTCAAAAGCTCAAGGACATTGCCTACGGCCTGAATTCAAGCCACAGGACTAGCACTGAAAAAAAAAAAGAAACAGAAACAATTGAACAACATACATCTTAAATTTTCATTAAGATTATTGGAATAGAATACCAAATGTGAAATAGCAAATTTTCCAAAGAAATTGTTGGTATGCACAAAATAAAAATAAACATCACAGAACTCAACAATTGTTATATACTATAATACGATGTATTCATTTTCAAATTAGTACCAGAAAAGAAATAAGCATGCATACTTCATGTTTATAGGAAAAACTTGAATTATGTTTTTTTTTGGTCGTGGGGCTTGAACTCTGAGCCTGAGCGCTGAGCTCTTCAGCTCAAGGTGAGCATTCTACGACTTGAGCCACAGTGCCACTTCCAGTTTTCTGGTGGTTGGAGATAAAGTCACAGACTTTCCTGCCTGGCTGGCTCTGAACCGCGATCCTCAGATCTCAGCCTCTTGAGTGGCTAGGATTATAGGTGTGAGCCACCGGCAGCCAGCTATGGAATAATTTTAAAAAGAGTGCCTCTTGCTAGTTCAAAGTATCTTATTTTAAATTTTCAGTTGAGTGAACCAAATACACTGGTAATACCTTAGAGTGCTATTAAAAAATTAGAATATGGTCTGGGAATGTGGTTTAGTGGCAGAGTGCTTACCTTGAGCAAAACAAGCTCAGGAACAGTGCCCAGGCCCTGAGTTTAAGCCCCAGGAATGGCAAAAAATAAAAAATACAATAAAAAGAATATACAGACAATATACTAATACTACCAACAAAGAAGATATATCACCAATAACCTTTAATGCCCTGACCCGTTTCCTATGTTGATATTATAGGACAAAGAACTCGGTGTGTAGCTCAGGTGTATACCAAGTATTTTGCATATAAGAAGCCCTAAGTTCAATCTCTAGTACCTCAAAAAAAAAAGCAATTTTATTTGTAATTTCTTTAAAAATTACATATATGTATATATATAGTGTTGCTTATAGTATATAATTATAATTATATTAGTTGTAGGTTAGACAAAAATTATATATACTGGATAACATTTATATCAATATTCATAATTACTATAATAAAATTACAACACAATTGTATAACTGTAACATCCTGTGTATGTATACACATACACACACACACACACACAAACAGTGGAATGGTTGAATCAAGATAATTAACACCTACATTACACCTCTCACATTTATCTTGAACTCAGCACATGTATGTTATTCTTATGCTTTGGTGCCCAAGGCAGGCACTCTACCTCTTGAGTACAGCTCCACTTCCAGTTTTTTGCTAGTTAATTATAGACTTTCTTGCCCATGCTGATTTCAAGATCCTCAGATCTCAGTCTCTAGAGTAGCTTAAATTTCAGGCCACTGGAGCCTCATTTATCATTCTTTTGCATGATGAAAATTTAACATCTATTCTCTTACAGCAGAGGGTGTAGCTTAGTGGCAGAGTGCATCCCAAGCCCTATACTCAACCCCTACCATGACAAACACAACTTCTAATTAACAATTTTCAAGCACATTTGATATCAAAAGGTCATTTAGCAGACACCAAATCATCAAAAACAGCTCAACAGTATCTTTTCTCTAGTCAGAAAGCAGTCTCTGTCACATTATCACTTAGCCAAATTATCACATAAAAGTCAACTACAAACCTAGTCTATTAAGCTACACTAGAATTCTAAATATAATGTATGTTTTAGTCTTTTTTTTTTGGGGGGGGTCCGGTCGTGGGGCCTGACCTCTGGGCCTGGGCACTGTCCCTCAGCTCTTCAGCTCAAGGCTAGTGCTCTACCACTTAAGCCACAACGCCACTTCCGGCTTTTTTGTTTTTGCTTATGTGGTGCTGAGGAATCGAACCCAGGGCCTCAGGCATGCAAGGCAAGCACTCTACCACTGAGCCACCTTCCCAGCCTATGTTTTAGTCTTGTGAGAATATTCTCTATAATACACCCATTACTATGTCAACCATGAATAAAGCTAAGAACTTTATGTATCTCTATCAATATGAAGCTATTAACTGACACATTATGAGCACACTTAGCAAATTAATATTCTGAAAAGGTATGAGTCATATCCATATTGAACAATATATTCCACATACCAAAAGACTCATCTTTCTTATCAAGGCGAAGGTGAGCTCTAACCTGCCCTGGCTCACAGCCGTCACAGGTCTCGCTGCCAGGGTGGATATGGAAGGAAAGTACGGTTTCTCCGATTTTCACTTCATCTCCATGTTCAAGTACGTAAGGATCAGATTTTGTTTTGGGCTAGAGAAGAAAAATTTCAAAACCCACAACAGTCACACATGGCTACTTTATGTCTACTATCAGTAATATCTAATTATAATAAGCATTTGAAATGATTCTTAGTAAATAGACACAGATGCTCACACTTCAACTTGATGGATGACACATAGGGGTAAGGGATGCTGTCAGGTGTACAGTTCACATTTATTAGCATGTACAAGGGCCTAGGTTCAAACCCCACCATCATTTAAAATATACATATATATAAAATTCTTGAGAGCTTGTTTGGAGGTTCTAGCAGGGGAGCGCAGCTACTCGTATACCCTTGACCGAAGACCGGTCCTCCTCTATCGGGGATGGTCGTCCTCTTCGACCGAGCGCGCAGCTTCGGGAGGGACGCACATGGAGCGGTGAGGGAGGAAGGGGACACCCGCCTAGCCAGCCAGATCAGCCAAATCAACCCTGGCGATCAATGGGGTGACAGATGTCGCAGCCAGATCGTCCTCACATCTCTATCAAGCTCCATTAATCTCCTTATCTCTGCACACAACCCAAGAACACTCAACTCTAAACTTTGATGTACTACCAAACAAAACCATCAGTCAAAAGATGAAATGTAGCCAACTGCCAGTGGCTCACGCCTATAATCCTAGCTACTCAGGAGGCTGACATCTGAGGATTGCAGTTCAAAGCCAGCCCGGGCAGGAAAGGCAGGAAAGTCCATGAGATTCTTATCTCCAATAAACCACTAGAAAACCAGAAGTGGCGCTGTGACTCAAGCAGTAGAGCCCTCGCCTTGAGCTGACAGTGCCCAAGCCGAGTTCAAGGCCCACGACCCCAAAAAAGATGAAATGTTAAGAGAAAGGGATAAGTATATTACATTATTCTTTTTTCCTCTTCATAATTCAATTTTATTCCTTTTTTTTTTTTGGATGGTACTAGGGGTTATAACTCAGAGCTTCGCATGTGCTAGGCAAGTATTTCCTGTCCTGTTTGCTTCATTTTGGGGATAGGATCTGGCATTTTTGCCTCAGTCAGCCTGCACTGCCATCTTTGTATTTATGTTTACTGTAGCAGAATGAACCACACCCAACTACTGGTTGAGACAGGAGAGGCAGAAATTGGGAGGATCAGGGTTCAGTAAAGGCAAAATGATAGTGAGACTCAACAAATAGACCAGATATGATGATTGGCTCATGCCTATAATAGCAGATACATGGGAGGCATAGGTAGAAAAATCCATAATGCCCTAAGACTTTATATGAACAATAAAGCAAAAAGGCCAGGAGTGGATTAAGTGGTAAAGCACTTGCCAAGCAATTATAAGTCAAAAGCCAACAGCCAAGTATCCTCTGATTATATACTTTTTCTACCCATTTCTGAAAATGCCAAATAACACATTTGAGCTTGAACTCTGATCTGAACCAAATGGTATACTAACTATGGCATAAAAAAGTCAGTTTAGTTAAGCCAGGCACTAATGGCTCATACCTGTAATCCTAACTACTCATGAGAGTGAGATCTGAGAATTGTGGTTCAAAGCCAGTCTAGACAGGAAAGTTTGTAAGGCATTTATCTCCAAATATACCAAAAAGCCAGAGTGGAATTGTGGCTCAAGGTGGTAGAGCACTACCCTTTATCAAAAAAGCTCAGGGACAGCACCCAGACCCTGAGTTTAAGCCCCAGGACTGAAACCAAACAAACAAACAAAAAATCAGTTAGTTTTAATAACAAAGTACAGGAAATTAATATATATTCACCTACCTGAATAATCTGTTTTCCATTAACAATTGTGCCATTTTGACTGCCTTGATCCACAAGGACATAACTTTGTAAGTCATGGTCGAAATAAACTTCTGCGTGAAACTTAGAAAAATCAAGCAATATAAAGTATATATTTTTTCTAAACCACAGATAACATTTTCTATGATAGTGAGGTGGACTTTAGTCTCATAATTCAAATGACAATAATTTAATACATATTGTGTTTTCCCATTTCTTAAATGGTTTAAACTCTAGTACAATTGACATTTTTTCAACTATAAAGTTAATTGTCCATAGCAAGAAAATGTTTTGTAGTACTGGGGACTAAACTGAGGATGTTGTTCATCTGAGCCACACTTCCCAATTCTTTATGTGTATTTATTTTTTGGCTTGAACTTAGGGCCTGGTGCATGTTAGGCAGGTATTGTACCACTTGAGCTATGCTCCCAACATTTTTGCTTTGCTATTTTTCAGGTAAGGTCTTACATTTTTGCCAAGGCTTATTAAAAATTCTTAATATTAAAGGTGACCTGAAATTACCAAGGACAACTTCTCAGAGTTTTCCAGATCTTCAATACTCAGAACAGATTGTTCCAAAGATGTTGTCACTATATCTTAACAGTGTATCATGAGATTCACCCATTTGTTGGGTACAATAGTACTTCACTCAGTTTGCTGAACAATAGCCCATTGTATGGGTAAACAAGCCATCTATTTTTCTAAACTGAACATCCAGGTTTCTCAGGTTTTATTATTTTTTTAAAAAACTGCTTTGAGTCTTCACATATATATATGTGTGTGTGTATGTATATGTATATATATATATATTATATATATGTGGATTTCCACTGTATACAAATATTTTCCTAGGGTAAACACCTAGGAATGGAAATGATAAATCATATATTATGCAAATCTTAAACTTCCAGATTGCTTCCCAAATTTATTTGCACCAACAGTCTGAGTTCTTGTTGCACAGAGCCAGAATTTTAAAGTTTTATTATCACAGCAGATATGAGATGAAAGTCTTACTGGTGCATTTTTAATTTGTATTTTTCTTATTACTACAGAAAACCTTTATGATCTTTTTTTTTTAGGTCTGAGACTGGGACTCAAACTTGGTACTTGATGCTTTTTGGCTCATTGGCTAGCACTATACTAATAAAGCCATGCCTTTTTTTTCCAACCCTTTTTTTGTTCTTTGTATTACTTTTTATTAGCTTGGAGGTTTGGAATAACTGTATCAAGTCTTTCACACTGCCAAACCCTATTCAAACAAGCTGTTCTAAATTATGCTTCCTAAAAGAGTCATATTTAGTACACATGTTCAATGAAAACTGACATCCTGGTCCATTATATTTCGTAGATTGGCTTTGTGGTATTGCTTTACTGTGAGCTGCTTACTCATTTTATGTTCACTTGTCTACTGGTGTCACAACAGGCATTCAGAAACTGAATCTGAACAAACTTTTTAAACATAAAGGAGATGTATTTTGTCACAGGAATTGTTGCTGTTCTGTTGTGCCTTTTATCTCTATCTACCTAGTGCCAGTACTGGAGCTTGAATACAGAGCCTCACACTCTTAAGGACAACAGTTTACCACTTGTGCCACAGTGCCACTTCTGGCTTTCTGTTGGTTAACTGAAGAGTCTCATGGACTTTCCTGCCTAGGCTGGCTCTGAACTACAATCCTCACATCTCAGCCTCCTGAGTAGTTAACATTATATAAAGTATAAGCCACCAACATATAGCTTATTTTATTTTAAACTCAGAAAGCCTTATATCTAATGATTAAATCTGAATTTTTTTTTTTTGCAAAAGCATTTACCACCTATCTGGATATGTGTTATATATGCTGTTAAGCTGATTTTTTCCAACAAAATATCTACTCCTTCAGTGGACATTAGTCTAAGAAAACAAAAACTAGGCTGGGAATATGGCTTAGTGGTAGAGTGCTTGCCTAGCATGCATGAAGCCCTGGGTTTTATTCCTCAGTACCACAAAAACAGAAAAAGCTGGAAGTGGTGCTGTGAATCAAGTGGTAGAATGCTAGCACTAAAGAATTTACTACTTAAGTTACACATTGGGCTTCCTTTGGAGGCAAGATAATCAAAGGTCATAATAAAGTAAAATAGGCAGATAATTTGGTTTGAGTTAAGATAAGGATTTCCTCCTTCAAATGAGTTCCAGAAAAGTGATACAAACTAGACCTTCACACTAATAATGAAAAGTAAATTTCATTCCAAATAGACAAAAATCACATAAAGTCTTTTTTAGGTTCACTTATACTCCATTAAGTAAAAACAAAATGGTAATCTCACTATGTAGCACAAATTAGACACAACTCAAGATCATTCTGACTCCACTTTGCAGGTGCTGGAATTACAGACTTGTGCCACCAGGCCCATATTTTATTTTTGCTCTTAATGGAATGACCTGTTTTGCATAGAGAGCAATACTTGAGAAATCAAAGATCTTACCTTACTGACACCCACTTCAGGGATTCGGAGAGTATGCTCCATATCTTTTTCTCTGAAGAGTTAAGTAAAGTTTAGTCTTCAGAATTGCAAAACATATACAGACACAACAGTTAGAGAGCAACATGATAAATACATTTTTTAGGATGGATATTAAAATACAAGTCTATCACAGGTCTCCTGGTGATATACTGTCCTTTCCACTCTACTACATTTCCAATTATTTGCTCGTATCTTTTTTTCTCTTCCAGTTGTGCTTTCTTTGGGTGGAAATTTTGCCCTAGTACTTTTTATACTGATAACACATAGAACAGGGCTTGATACACAATACATGCTCCTCCATCAAACCCTTCAGAAGTAAAAGAATGACATAACAAAATTAGCCATTTTTACCTTCCAATTGTAGCAGGGTTTACAGCTGTAATGATAAAAAGTGATCCTGTCTGCAACACTGGTGATCTAATAACAATTACTCTAATACACGGAGGCCAAATTTTTTCTGCATCTGCCAAAGAAAGAAGGAAATATTAATTCAAATGTTATGGAAAAAATTTTCACATGGATAACTAGGAGACATCCATTAAGCAAGAATGTATTGGCAAAACCTGGAGGTGTAGCTGTTATAGAGCACCTGCCTAGCATAGTAGAGGCCTTGGATCAATCTTCAACACTACAAAGGATAAAAAAAGGCTGGGAAGGTGGCTCAGTGGTAGAGCGCTTGCCTTGCACACATGAGGACCTGGATTCAATTCCTCAGTACCACATAAGCAGAAAAAGCCAGAAGTGGAGCTGGGGCTCAAGTGGTAGACCACTAGCCTTGAGCTAAAGAGCTGAGGGACTTGCCCAGGCCCAGAGTTCAGGCCCCAAGATTGACCAAAAAAAAAAAAAAAAATCTTATTTCTGGCTAAAACAAACTTCAATTCTGCTACATGCTACATATAGCAACAAATAAGGCTTAACACTATTCTAAAATACTCAAAGGTATGCAATATATTTAGTATCACAAAGAAAATTAATTTTTAAGATCAGGACCATTTTTAAAAATAAGAAAAATTCTAGACTTCAAGAGTAAAAGAACAAAAGGAATTCACTTAGTATAATGATATCCTATTTTTTATTCATATATTAATCATTTACTCACATCCTATCTTCTAAAATTGCCAGTGGTCACTCATATAATTTTTATTAATGTCTTCACAATAACCAGTTTCCTTCCTGACAAGAATTCTAGGTGAATCACCAATGTTTATAGTAATTCTCTCTTTTACAGTTAAGCAAGTGGGTTTTTCATTTATAGCTATCAGGTGCTTACCTTCCTCCTCCATTTCTTCTGTAGCTCCATTGTCTTCACTGCTTTCATCTTCGTTACAACTGTCCTCAGTCTGGGAATCTGTGATTTCACCTTCTTCTGGCTCACTGTCACTTTCTATGATTTTTTCATCTTTAAATGAAGTTGAATTAGAAATCTTCTCTTTTAGAGGAGATTCTAAAGAGTTTTCACTAACTGCAATGGTGAATTTAGGGGAAATATTTTTGTAATGGCAGTCTACTTTGGCCTTCTTTTTCCCACTTGCACAATTTTCTGCCTCACTGTAGTTCATATATTCAACACTAGAGGACTTTTGATCTGAATTCAAATCCTGGAAAGAGGTAAGTAGGTAGATAGGTAAAAGCAAGAAGAGTAATGTTAAATATCATTATCATATATCTGTAAAGAATGAATTGTATGGGGTGGGGAGGGGGCGATGGGAAGGGATGGGAAGGGGAAACAAGGAGGAGGCAACAATGCTTGATAAGAAATGTACTCATTATCTTGCCCATGTAATTGTAACCCCTCTGAACGGTATTTTCACAATAAAAAATAAAGAATGAATTGTAATAATGTATCAATAAGGAAAAAGTAACACACTGTGCAACAACTCTCAGTTTGGCAGTAGTGAGGTTTGAACATAGAATCTCACACTTACTAGGTTCCTACCACTAAGCCATGGCTCCAGTCCTTTATAGCGTTTTTGTGTGTGTGCTGGTCTTGGGAGCTAGAATTCAAGGCCTGGGCACTGTCCCTGTGCTTGTTTGCACAAGGCTAGTGTTCTACACCTAAGCCCCACCTCTACTTCCAGCTTTTTGATAGCTAAGAGTCTCATGAACTTTCCTGTCTAGGCTGGCTTTTTACAGGTAAGAGGCACAGGTGCCTGATTAGTTTTGAGATTAAAGTCTCACTTCCTACCTACACACCTGGACTGCAATCCTCTCATTTTTAGGCTTCCCATCACAGCTGGGACCACATTTTGCTTCTGCCAGAGATAGTCTCATGGATGTTTCAAACCCCCATCCTCCTGTTCAGTCTCTCAAGTAGCTAGGATGATAGGTATGAATAATAGGGACCTGGCTTCAACTTCCTTTTTTGCAGCCTAAACTGGGGCTTGAACTCAAGTCCTGAGTGTTGTCTTTGAGTTTTTAATGCTAAAGCCTAGTGCTCCACCACTTGAGCCAAAGCTCCACTTTCAGCTTTCATGGTGCTTAATTGAAGAGTCGCAAGGGCTTTCTTGTCCAGGCTGTTTTAAATTGATCCTCAGACCTCAGCTTCCTGAGTAGCCTGAGCCATCAGTGTCAGGCTTTAAGTTCCTTTCTTAAAAATATTATTGTCCTCTTGTCTTCCAAATTAAGAACCTTATCAGTGATACTCCCTTAACCACCACATGGAATCAACTGCCAATACAGATTCCATTGATAATTTTGATCTAAGTTTGTTCTCAATATCCTACCATTCCCAGTCCAGTATTCCTCATCCTGTATTACTTGAACCTTGTAACAGTTTATACCAATAAACACAATGTTAATCCATATTTCTCTTTTTAAATTTACTAACAGTTAAATTTAAAAGTAAAATTTAAAAAAAAAAGTAGGGGGCTGGGAAGGTGGCTCAGTGGTTAAAGCGCTTGCCTTGCATGCCTGAGGCCCTGGGTTCGATTCCTCAGCACCACATAAGCAAAAACAAAAAAGCTGTGGCTCAAGTAGTAGAGCGCTAGCCTTCAGCTGAAGAGCTGAGGGACAGTGCCCAGGCCCAGAGTTCAGGACCCATGACCGGACCCCAAAAAAAAAAAAGTAAAATTAGTAGCTGAGCACCAGTGGCTCATGCCTATAATCCTAGCTATTTAAGAGGCTGAGATTTGTGACTTGCCACTTGAAGCCAGCCAAAGCAGGAAAATCTTGTGCAGCTTTATTCCTTTCAATAAGAGGGTTTGAAGTTAAGATTTCAGGCCTGATAGGGCAAACACTCCATCAGTTGAGCCATGCCCAACCTTTTTTGCTGTATTTTTCAGATAGGTGCTAATGTTTTTGTCCTGGCTGCCCTTGGACCATGATCATCTTAACCTGTGCTTCCCACCTGGCTGAAATTACAAACACATATTATAACCCTAAACTCATTTGATGAGAGGGACTCTTATCAACTTTTGCCTGGGCTGACTTTTGACCCTGCCAGTCTATGAATCCTGAGTAGCTGGGATTACAAGCATGCACCACTTTATCCAGCCCATGTTTTGAAATCTATATACAATGAGCAACTAACTCAAGTTATTTAATATGGGTGCTCCCTACCTGCTGTGGATAGAATACTTAAAATTCACCTTCATGTAATTTTCAATAATTCATTACATTGAATGGGAACAGATATAGCTCAGTAGCAGAATGTTTGCTGAGCATTTGTAAAGCCCTAGAATCTATCCTGAGCAGTACACACACAAACCAAAAGAAAAAAAAAAGAAGAAAGAAAGAAAAAGAAGAGAAAAGCAAGCAAACAAATGTATTACTTGGAAGTAAAGAGTTATTTTGCTTTTCTGTCTGGAATGTAACACATTGGCAATTTTCTTTCTACCTCAGAGTAACTTGATGAAGGGAATTCATATGATCATCTTTTATAAAATACTATGTATGAAAGGTGCCAGTGGTTCATGCCTATAATCCTAGCTACTCAGGAGCTAAGATCTGAGGATCGTAGTTCAAAGCCAGTCTGAGCAGGAAAGTATACAAGACTCTTATCTCCAATAAACTACTCAGAAAAAGCCAGAGGTGGCGCTATAGCTCAAGTAGTAGAGCACTAGCTCTACTAGTACAAAGAGGCTTGAGTACAAGGAGGCTCAGGGTCAATACCCAGGCCCTGAGTTCAAGCCCCAGGACCAGCAAAAAATAATAAAATACTAAATTTAATTTGGATATTGCTAACCATTCATAGTGTGATGAACTATATCCACTCCCAACAACTGAAACTAGCCAAGGAAAAGAAGTAAAAAGAACAAGGACAAGAAATTGGGGCAAGGGGGGGAGGGGGAAGGAATCAGAAGCTTTAGGCCATGTAAAAGATAAAAACCTCCCTATTTTTGTTTATACTTTTGTTGTTTCTTGTTCTTGTTGTTGTTGTTCAATGCTAAGGAACAAAGTCGGCCTTGCATCTGAGAGGTAAGAGTTCTATCACTCAGCCAAGTCCCCAACTCCAGTGTTAACACTTTTAAAAAAGCAGTTCCCCATCTGGTATATTTTGTTATTACTATTGCTTATAGAGCAATATACACAGGGGGAAATGAGTGAAAATGTCAGAGGTGCTACTTTTACAAATTTTGTTCTAAACATTAAGATCTAACTAATTTATCTACCTACCTACCTTCTTACCTACCAAACTACCTCCTATCTCCTACCAACCAACATATTCCTTATTCATTTTAACCCCAAGTATTTTACCGCAATCTCCTCACCATATTACTTTCCCTGTACTTATCCTCACCTGCAAAAAGCGAAGATCAGGAGCATTTTAAACATACAGAAATGAGGATGCTTTAACTGGTCTTTCATCGCTGCATAGCAACCATTTAAAATCCTCAGGAAATTGTCAAAATCTCATCAAGATTTTTCTTAAGTTCCTACATTCACATATTTTTGGAAAAGTTATAGGAGCTAGGCTAACCAACACTATCACGAAGTACTTCTACTTCCATTCTCTACCTAGCACATCAACAAAGGCCTGAGGCCTCCCCACATCCTCCCCATGTCTAGGGAGAGTGCTTCTCAGACTAACCTGTCAAACAGTCCTAGGCACAAATTCTCAAACAGAGATCTTGAGCAAACAGAAAATAAATTTTAGTAGCTTAGTTGTGAATGAAAAAATAAGAGAAACAGGCTGTATGTCAGTAGCTTACGCCTGAATCAATCCTGGGATCTAAGGATCATGGTTACCAGCCAGCTGAGGCAGGAAACTGTTAAGACTTAATCTCTAATTAACCAACAAAAAGCTGTTAGAGGAGCTGTTAGAACACAGGCCTTCAGCAAAAAAAGCTCAAAACCCAGTCTCAGCTCAAAAACAAAAAAAATAAAAGTTTTAAAAATGAAAAAAAATTATACATAGAAGAAAGTCCAACCAAATTCTAATTCTATATATGAACTTCAGAATTTGCTATTATTTTCAGCAAATTTTCTCTGGTTAAAAGGAGAAAAAAACAAGCTGGATGGCAGTGGCTTACACCTGTAATCCTAGCTACTCAAGAGGCTGGCATGTAGGATCTCAGTTCAAAGCCAACCCAGAAAGTCCAAGATTCTTAATTTCCAATTAATCACCAAAATATTAGAAGTGGAGTTGTGGCTCAAGTGGTAGAGTGCTAACTTTAAACAAAAAAAGCTCAGGGACAGCACCTAAGCCGAGTTCAAGCCCCAGGATCAGCACATATGCATGCCCATGCACACACACAATAGTATTTCCAGAGTATAATATCAAATAGTTCCTAAATTTTAGAAAAATGCCAATATAACAAAAAAGCCTCCTATGCTGCCTATAATACACTAACTGTATCTGTTAGTGAGCAGAAATAAGAACCCTGATAATATATTTTCATTATCTACCAATTAAAAGCTACTTAATATTTTTTCAATTAAATTTATCAGGTCTTTCTTAGCCTTGTCTTGAAAGTCATGTAGACTCTATTGTTTTTCTGTTCTTGGAAATACTGATGTGTCTTGCACATGATAAATTATATGGGACTTTAAATATTCACACAATGAGACCAAAGGAGGATATTTTTTAGGAGAGGATCACAAAGGCTCAATAGCTATAGCCATACAATTATATAAAATGATGTTTATCGAAATGAACTCCAAGTGTGTTTTGGTTATTTTGCTTTTTTTTTCCTATTTTTTGTTGCTGTTTTTTATTTCTGTTCCTTTTGTCTTATATGTAAGTTTATCTGTTGTGGGGAGGGTAAGGAAGAGGACAGAAATGATTTATATGTCAAAAAAATAAGAAATATCACTATGTATACATTAGAATTCTTTCATTGGATTTTTTAAAATATAAATAACTAGAAATAAAAATTTTCAACCAGGGATTATAAACATTCGTACAACCAAACTATTCACCCTCCAAAAATATAAGTTAAAATCCATATAGGCCAAAAACAGTGTCTCACATCTGTAATCTCAGGTACTTAGGAAGCAGAAATCAGGATGATCTTTGAGGCAAGCCCAGACAACAAGTGTGTTGTAAGCTGGGTGCAAGTGGTTCATGCCTGTAATTCTATTCAAAAGGCTGAGTATATGAGGATTGCAGTTTGAAGCCAGCCCAAGCAGGAAAGTCTGTAAGACTCTTATCACCAATAAACTACCAAAAAAGCTGTGGCTGAAGTGGTAGAGTGCTAAACAAAAGAAGCTCAGGGACAGTACCCAGGCCTTTAGTTCATGCTCAGGACTAGTACACTAGTGTGCATGTGTGCACACACACATACACACAAAATTTTCATAGTATAAGCCTGTAATTCCACAGCATGGCCACAAATGTAAGACCCTCTCTGGAAGGTAACCACAGCAAAAAGGCTGCAGCTGTGGTAAAGTGTCTGCCTGGCAAGCAGGAGGCCCTGAATTCAAGACCTAGTACTGCCCCCAAGGTTGGTTGGTTTGTTTTTCTGGTCAAGGCTATACTCTATCATTAAGCCACAGCTCCATTCCCAGCATTTTGGTGCCTAATTGGTGATAAAAGTCTCGTGGACTTTCCCATCTGAGGTTGGCTTCAAACCACAATTCTCAGATCTCAGCCTTCTGAATAGCTAGGATTATAGGCACGAATCACTGGAATTCAGCACAAACTGCTTTTCTTTTGTGAATTGTGAATGACATCAAACTTATCCATTTAGGGTCAAATTATAAAACATAATATATTTTATCTGTTCCAAACCTACCTTCTTCAAATTTTAAGAAATACCTTCTATTTCTTAGTGTCTGAGTATTTCTGAAAAAGTCCATGTTTGTTCCACTGAACTCTCCTTGGTTAGTGAATTATGATCTCAGAGACATCAATGATTCCAGAGTCATAGAATGATCCCAGAGTCATAGAATGATTTTCGGTTTTATAAAAAAAATTTTTGATTCAATTAAATTATCAAAATTGTGAAAATTTTAAACATTACCTTTTCCTCATTTGTTGTAGAAGAATCTGGATCCTTTCTTTTCTTCTTCAATTTTCTATCTTTATTTTGCTTTGTGCTAGAAGTCTGATAAGGCTGCAAATCTACACGAGAATGAAATTGGTATCGGCCACTTTCCACATCACAGTAGTAATAAATTCCAGTAGAAGGATCATAATATAGTTGATTTTCCTTTCAAAACAAGAAAAAGAAAAAAACTAGAAATGCCAAATACATTCAAACATAGAAATGTTTATTTAACAGTAGTATTTTCAGATTATAAATTAAAGATAAAAAATTTTTATTTTCTATATTGTGCTATTCTACTTTTCCCTGTTTGAAATCTAAATATGCCAGTATTTGAGTATTTTTAACATTAGTCAAAATAGCAATTCATATGGTTTAGCTTACTTTAACACATTAACAAATGATAGTATCAAGAAAGCTTTTAAATATATGAAAATAAATACTAACACATGCATCAGAAAAACTACATAGGAAAGCACTCAGGCTACTGACTGCATAGTCATGGTTTGGTAGTATATGGCCTCAAACCTTTGATTTGATAAAGTTAACTTGTAAGTAGCAGGACATAGCATGCTAAAGAGGGATTAACTATTGCCAAGACTTCTTTTTTTGTGGTGCTGGGAAGCCAAACCAGGGCATCTATCTTTGAGCTGTACCTTCAGCCCACTAATAAGTTTATTCTACAGTAAAAGAAATATGACAGGAATAAAGAAGCCATGCACAAATGAATTTTAGCAGATTATGGAAAGAAAATTATGTAATCACCTGTTATTATTAGATATTGGCCAATAATCCATAACCAAAATTTAACTGAACATTCTATTACATCATAAATCCATGAAGACTAGATCTGGAAACAGCTTAGGATGTACTGAGATTGAGCAACTAAACTTCCCGAAAAAGAACAACATATTTTTCTAATAATAATACTATCGTAAGTTATCATCTCTAATGTATACATTTTGCAGATTTTTTTGGAGGGAGGGGTTCCAGTTATGATCCTTAGACCTCAGCCTCTGAGTAGCTAGGATTACAGGCTTGAGTCACTGGTGCCTATCTCACATTATTCAGGTTTATTACAAAAATATTTAAGAATTCTCATCATCTTTCCTGTAAATAAAAAACTAACTGGAGCTTTCTAATTTCTAATGATCATGAGACTTCTACCACCGAAAGTTTTAAAATTCACTGCGTCTGTCAACTCAATATAGAAGCATTTTCAAATATAAGAAAATCAGCCAGCATAATAAAAGTGGCAAAACATCAAATTCTGAATCCACTTAGATATATAACTGTTTAAGCTGAGTGCTGGTGACTCACAGCTGTAATCCTACTCAAGAGGCTGAGATCTGAGGATCACGATTCAAAGCCAGTACAGGAAGGAAAGTCCATGAGACTTATCTCTAATTAACAATCAGAGTCTGAAAATGGAGCTGTGGCTCAAGCAGTACAGCCCTAGCTTTGAGAACAAAAGCTCAGGGACAATTCCTAGGCCAAGTTCAAGCCCGAGGATCAATAAAAAAGAAAAAGAAAAAAGAAATATAACTATTTATAAATGTTAGAAGGAAAGACAAAGAAAGAATGACAAAAAATAATCTCTACTTGGAAATTATTTTCCTGGAAATCAAGTAATAACTTTGGATAAGAGTTTAAGTATGAATTTCTGCCTATTAGTTATCACTGTCAGCATACTTCCATAAGAAAAAAATCACTTATCAATGACTTTACTATTAATGGAGATAAGAGTCTTATGAACTTTCCTGTCTGGGCTGGCTTTAAATCACAATTCTCAGATCTTAGCCTACTGAGTAGATATTTTTTACAAGTGTGAGCCAGCCACACTGGTTACTACAGCATGGTAAACTTTTTGTTTTGTCAATCATGGAGCTTGAACCCAGGGCCTGGGCACTGTCCCTGAGCTCTCTTAACTTAAGGCTACTGTAAATGGTTAAATGGAAATAAAAGTCTCCCAAGGGACTTTTCTGCTGGGGCTGGCTTTGAACCATAATCCTCAGAACTCAGCCTCCTAAGTAGCTAGGAGTCACCAGATGTGAACTAACAGCAGTGGGCTAACAGGCTAATTTTTAAATTTCTATTATTTTGTGGTGCTAGAAAAGAAGCCTAACCCCTTGTGTATGGAAGACTACCAATCTACATACATTTTTTTTCATTTATTTATTTTAGCCCAAAATAGATTCTTTAAGAAATGCCTGAGCTGGGCACTGGTGGCTCTCGCCTGTAATCCTAGCTACTCAGGAGATTGAGATCTGAGGATCGAAGTTCAAAGCCAACCCAGACAGGAAACTCTGTGAGACTCTGATTTCCAATAAATGACCAGAAAACCGGAAATGGTGCTGTGGCTCAAATGGTGGAGTGCTTGCCTTGAGCATAAGAGCCCAAGGACAGTGCCCAAGCCCAGAGTTCAAGACCTATGACTGACCAAAAAAAGAAATGCCTGAAAGCCACAAAATATAAAACCTTAATCAATAATGAACACACAGCTGACATGGGACATGCACTTATACCTACAGTCTCAGCTATTTTGGAACCTGAAGTGAGAACATAGCTTAAGCCCAGGAGTTTGAGGCCAGGCTGGAAGACAATCTAGATACATGCTATCTTAAAATAAATGGATTGAAATTTTAAAAAGAAGAAAAGACTCATCTGTAGCCTACAGCAAATTCATAAAGTTAAGCACTTGAAACAATTCTTTAAAAACCTCAACTTTGCTTCCTTATAAATTCTATGATTAAAAATTATTAGTTTTAGGGTCTTAAACATTTACAGTTAATAATCTTTTACTAAAAGATTTATCATTTTAGTCTGTTTCTGTATATGCAAAAGGTTATTAGATCTCTCTAAAATATAAATTTATAATAATTAGAATTAACTTATTTAATTATAACCTAGAAGTATAGCATCATACAACTATTTCACAATTGCTTGGTCAAATAGTTTGAATCAACTGTTTTTTGTTTGTTTTTTGCCATTCCTAGGCTTGCACTCAGGGGCTAGGCACTGTCCCTGAGCTTTTTCAGCTTACAGCTAGCCACAGCTAGCTTGAACCACAGCTCCAACTTTTTGGTGATTAATTGGAGATAAGATTCTCACAGATTTTCCTGCCCAATTTCGCTATGAACTGTGATCTTCAGATTTCAGCCTTCTCAGTAGCTAAGATTACAGGCATGAACCACCAGCATGTCTTAAAAAAAAAAAGCAATTTCTTGTTTTTTTTTTTTACTTCAGCAAAGGATTTTAATGCTTCCTATCAGGCAGCTAAATACATAATTCAGTATTTAAAAGGTCTGAGATACTTACAGAATCGTAATAGAAACCAGTGCTGTGATCAAAATATAGTCCAGTAGTTTCATCATAAGTAAAACCAGTCTGTGATACAGCAGCTTCTGCTGCAGCTCTCAAACTTTCAGCTAGTGATGAACCTTCTAAGGATGTACCATCTCCTTCTGTTGCTAATGCAGATGCTGACTCCTACACAAAAGATAGGCATGTCAAATAAGACAAAATATTAGCAGCATTTGAAACAATAGTTACATTTTTAAATGGCTTAAATTTCTACAATGCAAAAGATAACTATCAATTATAATTTGAACTAGTCCAAAAAGCCTTAGTTCAACTTTGATTCAATTTTGCTTTTTTTCTTCAGTGATGAGGATTGAATAAAGGACCTTGCACAAGCTATGCAAGTGTTTTATCACTGAGATGCATCCCCAATCTTTTGACATTTAAAGACATTAAAGTTAGGGAATAACAATTATTCAAAAAATAAATGATACCATAGAGAAGCATTATAAAATATGAAATGTGATATATTCAATAAGACAAGTTAACCAAGTTGTTCAATAACTATATATTCAATGACTTTTTTGTGGTACTGAAGTTGAACTCAAGCTCACTTGGCTTGCTTGGTACTTCACCTCTTGAGCCATGCCTCCAACCCAGAAATTGTTTGGGAGGAGAAAGTGATAGATAAAAATCCATGTTGCAGGGGCTGGGAAGGTGGCTCAGTGGTAGAGTGCTTGCCTTGAATGCCAGAGGCCCTGGGTTCGATTCCTCAGCACCACATAAGCAAAAAAAGAAAAAAGCCGGAAGTGGCGCTGTGGCTCAAGTGGTAGAGCGCTAGCCTTGAGCTGAAGAGCTGAAGGACAGTGCCCAGGCCTAGTTCAGGCCCCACGACCGGACCCAAAAAGAAAAAAAAAATCCATGTTGCACACTGGATAGTGAGTCAAACAAATTCTAAAACTGGAAGTATAAAACATTCAGAAATTTGAACAATAATGGACACTTAACATACAGGAAGCATTAAAATATTTACTTGTTAGGGAAACTGTTTGTGCAGCTTTGGGATACAATGCTTGCCTACCATAAACAAGACCCTGTGCTGAACTCCAGCCCTGCCAAAAAAAGACAAAGGACAATTCCTCAGACATCAAATTTCTTATTACCTGTGAGTTGGAGGTAAAATGATCCTCTTGTCCACTTCTGACGTTTTCTGTTAAATCAGTACTAGTGTAAGCATTTTCTATTTGTGCCTGGTCTTCAGAATTAAGAGAAGGAGCTTCAACATACTGATACTGCTGAACAGAGAGTTCATTCTCTTTATTTGGAAGATTGTCATCATTATAGTAGGTCTGGTAATAATAATCTATAGCAAAAAAAAAGATATTAAAAATAACAATTAAGCTAAAACTGTCACTGAAAAACATGGGAATCACCACTTTTACAATTATATATATTTTAAACGATTAAAACTGATAGTATAGACAAATCTGCACAAGCGTATACCTTTGATTCTAATGTCTCCTTAAGTACCCCAGTTGTCAAGCTTAAAAGAAAACAGAAGTAAATCTAGATTTTCCACAGCAAAAACTTTTTTAAAAATGAGTAGCTGAATTCAGTTATTTAAGCCTGTGATCTTAACTACTTAAATGGTTAAGATTCCAGGATGACAATTCATTTGACTTGAATTGTCCAGTTCAAGAGACTGGATCTGGATCAACAGCTAGGAATAGTAGCACACACCTGTCATCCTGACTATAGGGAAGCAAGCATAATGGCTATATTGACAAATGTTTGTCATCCTAGCAATTCCAGGAAGCACAAATAGGAGGATCACAGAGCTGGGTAGAAGCATAAAGCAAGACCAAAACTGTATCAAAATAACCAACATAAAAAGGACTGATAGAGTGGTTCAAGTAATAAAATGCCAGTTCAGCAAGTCCAAGGTCCAGAGTTCCAACACAAGTATCCTAAAACAATTTTAAAGGATGGGCTGTGCTTTGTCAAAAAAGAAAAACAAACAACTTCTTAAAAGCTTCTAGCCACATACCTTAATATGTTGTTTACCAACTGACAAATAAATAAAGACAACCCACTGGAATTTGATTTTGCCATCAAACGTCTCGCAAGATGCAGACTTCTTTAAAAATTTAAATTATAGAAATATTTAATGTTAATGCTTTGCTATGCTTAGCAATTTGGGTGAGTATGTCCATAATGAAACAAGACAAAATGGTAAAGAATGTGTCTTCTTATGGTCTACATTAATTAAAAACGCAATAGCTCAGTTATGTTGCCCTACAAAATAATGCACTGATGAGGTCAGTAGGGGGTTCACCATTCACATCAAGACCTAAGAGACTGGCACTGTCCATAAGGCTAAGTAGCACTTATTAACAAGAAAACACATGGCTTGGTCACAATAAAAGCCAGGTACTACAGTGAAGATACCAATGAAAGCACATTAGCAACATTGTAACAATTACAAGAATGTCAATTCTTTTCTGCCAATTGTTTTCTATCAGAAGAATGCAAACTGGTAATCTGAAAATGCCAATTAAGACAGAGAAGTCAATAACTGTCCTCATACTTATATTAGATCTCTATTTTAAAGAAAATGCTACATTGGAATGACATGAATATAGTCCAGTGTAAGAACAGTATGCATACCTGAACTTGACCAAGGAAGGTGATTCTCTGTTTGTACTTCTACATCAAGCTTTTTGTTATCTTCATTTCTGCCACAATGTAGTATTTTACTGAGTTCTTCCACCTGAAAGAAAACAAAGCTTTAGGAAAAGTGTATCAGAAAGAAATCTAATAATACACAATATATTATTCTCATAAATAAGAAAATCGCCAAAAATGGCTTCGTTTTCTTTCTCTCCTCTACCTCTCTCGCTTTCTTTTTTCTGTGCCAGTCCTGGGACTTGAAATCAGGGCCTGGGTTCTGGCCCTGAGCTTTTGTACTCAATGCTAGTACTCTACCACTTAAGCCACAGTTCTACTTCCTGCTTCTAGTTTCCTTTCAAAAGAACTAAAAATACTTACATTCTTACTTTTCAGGAGAAAAATAATCTCTTCCAGATGGGTTCTCACTGGGTTGCCCAGGCTGTGATCATCCTATTTAAGCCGGATTGCCGATTAATTAGTCTGTCTAGCGATTAGTCTGTCTAGCTCAGAGATGTTTTAAAACTTTCTTGCTAGACTCCCAATATTTCCTCAAAAAACTGCCTCAAATAACTGGACTAAAACAGGGTCATAGTGGCTCATGCCTCTAAACCTAGCTACTTAACTCAGAAGGCTGAGATCCTCTAAACCTAGCTACTTAACTCAGAAGGCTGAGATCTGGGAATCATGCTTCAAAGCCAGCCTAAGCCCATGAGATTATCTCCAAATACCACCAAAAAAAGCCAGAAGTGGAGCTGTGGCTCAAGTGGTAGAGCATTAGCCTGAACAAAATAGCTCAGATACAGCTCTCAGACACTGAGTTGAAGCCCTAAGACTGGCACAAAAACAAATAAAATTTGAACTGAAGTAATGTAACTCTGTGAACATGGTCTTTTCTAATGAACAGAAGCATTTTGGACTGGGAATACAAGTCAGTGGTAGAGCACTGCCTGGTAGGCAAGAGGGACTGAGTTCTACCCCTAACATAATCCTCCCCTCCAAAAGAAGAAAAAGAAAAAAGAATGCTTTTATACTAATAAAGATCAGCAGTTCTTAGAAAATTAAAATTGTGGGGCTGGGAAGGTGACTCAGTGGTAGAGTGCTTGCCTTGCATGCATAGGCCCTGGGTTCAATTCCTCAGCATCACACACACAGAAAAAGCCAGCGGTGGCGCTGTGGCTCAAGTGGTAGAGTGCTAGCCTTGAGTTGAAGAGCTGAGGGACAGTGCCCAGGCCCAGAGTTCAGGCCCATGACCAACAAAAAAAAAAAAAGAGGGGCTGGGAAGGTGGCTCAGTGGTAGAGCGCTTGCCTTGCATGCCTAAGGCCCTGGGTTTGATTCCTCAGAACCATATAAGCAAAAAGAAAAAAGCCGGAAGTGGCGCTGTGGCTCAAGTGGTAGAGCGCTAGCCTTGAGCTGAAGAGCTCAGGACCACAGTTCAGGCCCCACGACTGGACCCCCCCAAAAAAAAGAAAGAAAGAAAAGAAAATTAAAATAGTAAATTATTGGGCTAGGATGTAAGACAGTGGCAAAGTGCTTGTCTAGCAAGTGCAACATCTTGAGTCCTATCCTCAGTACCAAAAAGAAGACAAAAAAAAAATGATATTACCATCCCCAGTAAAGGAACTGTGGGAAACCTGTGTTTTTCCTTCTGGAATGAACTATTTGTCTATATACATTAATGCCCTCTTTTTTTTTTTTGGTAATGGGATGGAACTTATCTGGAGCATACTAGGCAAGCGCTCTACCAAGTGAGCTACATCTCCAGCCCTATTAAAGCCATCTATAGGTTTTAATGAACACTTTTTCTTTTGTTCTATGCAAGTAACTGTGGCAGAAGGAAACAATTCAAATGACTAGAGAAGTATCTGTCCTCCATATTCCTCTCACACTGACATGTCCTTGAACGGATGCTGCACAGGCCAGAACAACAGCGTGGAAATGCTCCTAAGTAGAGAAAATGCCTAGATCCAGGCACCTCAGTCTGGCAGGGTCTATGTATCAGGCAATATGCACTATATGCATGAAAACAGCTAAAAAAGCAAGCCTCTAAATATTTCCTTAGTGGTACATACATATGCTCAAACTGAGAAAGTGCAAGACTCATTACAAACTTGATGATCAGATTTACTCCTACTACCAGGCCTAGGGAAAGCAAGTTCCCGAAGATGAAATTTTCAAAGAGGTTCTCCCAAATGCATGGAAGTACAGGATCCTTATCCGAGCTGGTGCCCCCTTAAATTCCTTACCTAGGAGATGGACTGCCTTGGCCTACTCTAGGCTCTATCATTACTATAAACCGGATTATTTAGTATCTACCTCACTCGACATAAAACCAGTGCTTTGGCTAACACCTCCTTAATTCACACAAAGAGGTACACATTTACACTTCTAGTTTGTGGTCTTGACTTTAACAAATTGTACATGATGTAGAATACAAATTCTGTACAGCCAAAGGGACGCTGACACAGGTGACAATGAAGATAATGTAACCCAAGTTACTGAAGGCAAATTCACTGCAGCCACGAGACACGCGTGTACCCCAAGGATCCAGAACGCATCATTTTGCTGCAAGTAATCGTGAACTACTGTGAACTACTGTGAGACTCGGAGGTGAGGGGGCGCACCTGCGTGCGGAGCTCCTGGTTGTTGCTCTCGGCGCTCTGGTACAGCCGCTCCGTGTGGTGCAGCAGCCTCTCGATCTCCCGCACCTGCCGCTTGCAGCTCCGTAGCTCGCGTTCCAATTTCTCCACCTTCCGCCGCAACTGGGCCAGTTCGGGCTCGGGGGAGGCGGGCGGCGAGGGCGAGGGCGGCGGCGGCGGGGACGGGTCCTCGGAGGCCATGAAGACCGCACGAGGCGGCCCGCGG